GGCCTTAGTAACCTCCAGTAGTCACACATACCGAACCACAACGCGCAGTTCACCACCAGATGTTGCTCTAGTTATGGCAAATACTTTCGATTTGAGTCAATAATCCCTTTTAGTCTAGTTTCTAAAAAGGAGGAGGAAAAACAAAGGACTCTGTTTGCATATCCATGAGCTTGTTTTATTGGTACTTTACACAATAAGTCTTAGGATTTTGGGTTACTACCATTATGATCCTTATGTTGTGAGGAAAATAACTTACAATCTTCTCATAGGTCCGGGAGTTGGTGTTCAATCTTCACATGATTCTGTCGGACACAGTCAAAATGAAAGAGTATCAAGAGGTCAGTCTTAAAATTTTGAGTTTCTGTTTTACAAGGTTTTGATTGGTTATTTCCGTTCTGTGAGGGCGTTGTTGTGAAGGCGTTGTATTTTCCGAAAAAAAGTCTTGTGGAAGACCACTCACTGTATATTTTTTATATCTAAACCACTAACTTGCATGATTTGATCACTTCGTAACATGAATTTTTCTCTTCTGTACAACCTATCGTCTGAAAATCTTACTCCTTGTTCTCAAATCTGTAGGCCGCGGTTCCCAGTTTTTCTATTCATTGACGTTAAGGTACGTTTCGCTTTGTTACCAAAAATTTTCAGAAAGCCAAGAAGATAGATACTCCCCGCATTCTTGTTAAGTTTTTGGATAATTCCAAAAAATTATTCCAGCTTCCTTTATTTCTCATCACTACTCATCGACTTCACGGAAAAATAATGGGAAAAATTTGAGAACTTGAAATAGCATTTTAGTAGCATATTCTTCTTGACTTTTATTAATACTGTTTTTATAACTTGCTATCCATTCTCATTTATTCAGGACCCAGAAATGTTGATTGACTTGATGTACAGGATTGCTAAAGGGTAGGTGATGTTCGCAGGATTTCTGATGCAAGTGCTCTTGCATTCGTCAAGCAAAAGTAATGAAATTGACCGTACCAAATATTGCGAACTGTTGTCCCAAAGTGGGAAAAACTCGGAAATTTATTTAGGATAAATATCAATGGCCTCCCAAACGCCCGATCGGATATCCCTTGAATGATTCGGACCTTCATCGGATGCCCTTCCCTTGCTGCACTGAAGTCGAGAGAGCTCGGGTGTATACCAAATTCCGATGATGAAACTATAAAGTGATGCTAAACGCACTATCGATAGAGAAACTCCAAGAGAAAATCCACCTCTCCCCCGTGGGTAATTGAACCCCAGTCGTTCGGACTTGCCGTTTGGGTGCTTTACTAATGAGCTATAGAGGTATCGCTTAAGAGCAAATCCATCTACGCATATGAATTAGGTAATAGCCAGTGTTGTGATACTTTAAGGGAGGTTCTTAAAACACA